AGCCAGCAACACCCACTGTGGGACCCAATCTCCAGCACTCACCGGGAATCAATGTAGTTCTTTGCCTTAGCTCCACTCCACGCTGCACTGCGTCCTCCCATCAAGGGCCCAGGACTCACCAATTCCCATTATTGGCAGCCGTGGCTTCAGCGTGACCTTGAGTCACCCAACTCCACGGCACTCCCAGCAGTCTCAGTGAGCACATCAGGCTCCAGCCCTCCACTCACGTTTTTCTTTCCTCTTCCTATTTTTCTTTTCACTTAAGTTTCCTCCTGGGTTCATGAGAGTCCCTGGCCACTCATCCAGCCCTCTCCATGTTGTCAAATTCCAGCAGCTGAGGTGTTTTTCCAGAGAGACTCTCCACCCAGTGACCTAGCAAGCCACCATCTTCTCTCCACTCTCCCTGTTCGAATGTCCACTTTTTGTGTTTTAATTTTGTAATTTGAACAATTATGTCTAAGATGACAATATGTAATTTATCATCCAATGATTTCATAGTGTTTATTTTTTTGAAATTCTGTATTATTTCTACCATTTTTCTGTTTTGATTCTTTTCTCTTTAAATAAAATTTTAAAAAGTACAAGGAACCAGAAAATAACAATTGAATGACTGCAAGACAATGTAAAGAAAAATAATTAAAGAGTGATAGGTAGCAGTGAAGAAGCAGGAATCAACACAAATTTAATAAAAAGACTATCTACAGAAGTAATAGCAAAAAACTTCCCAAATATGGAAAAAGATCTGGCATACAGATAAGGGAGGCATATAGAACTCCAACTAGCCATAACCAAAATAAATCTATATCCACACATACTATAATCAAGATCCCAGAAATTCAGTACAGGAACAGAATATTGAAAGTTGTTAGAGAAAAGAAACAGATCACCTATAAAAGAAAATGAGTCAGAATCGCAGCAGATTTGACAATACAAACTATCAAATCAAGAAAAGTTTGGAGTGAAGTGTTTCAAATTCTAAAAGACAACAACTTTCAACCTAGATTGATGTACCCTGAAAAACTATCTTTTAAAATTGATGGAAAAATAAGATACTTCCATGATAAAGAACAACTGAAGGAATTCATGACCACCAGACCAACCCTACAGAGAGTGCTAAAGGATATTCTAGAGAGAGATAAAGATGACCATGGTTCTAGGAACAGCAGCAGAGGAAACTCACCAGGCAACACAGGCAGTTGAATAAAGAGGAAAAGTGGAGGGTCAACAACATTAGAACAGCATGGCAGAGATGAACCAATCCATGCCAGTTGTAACAATTAATGTTGATGGCCTCAATTCACCAATAAAAAAATAGAGAAGAGTGGATTAAGAAATAAAATCCATTAATACACTGTGTACAAGAAACACATTTATCTCAAAAGAAAATTCATAAACTGAAAATTAAAGAAGAGAAAACAGTTGTTTCGTATGACAGGAGACCAGACAAAAGCAAGAGCAACTTGCCTATCAACCACAGAATGGATAAGAAAGATATGGTGTTTTCATATAATGGAAAGTTACCCAGCCATAAGGTAGGATAATCTCGAGGCTCTTATAGGTTAATGGATGCAACTGGAGATCATGCTCATGGGTGAAATGGTTTGGACTCATATGGGTGAACACTGAGTTATCTCTGTAGCATAAAAAACTGAAGGAGTTAGTGGAATCCAAAAAGCACAGTAGATACTATGGAAGTGATAGAGGATGAAATGCCTAAAAAGGGAAAGTGATAACCACTATTAATTTCTTATTACCTTGTTCTGAATTCTTGTATAATTTTCATAATTATGTTAGGTTTGGTTCTATGCTGTCTTGTTCTATTAGATTTTACTGTGTCTGACAGTATGGGCAGATATTTTGAAAATAACAGGATGTGTTATGGTAACCATTGTTGATTTCCTATTGTCTTGTCTTGAAGTCCTATAATGTTTTCATTTTTTTGTTTTGATTGGTTTTATTCTGTTTCATTTTGTTATGCATGATGGTATGGAGAGAGATTCTGAAGAAAATGAAACATTATGGTAGCTACTGTTATTTTTTATCATATTGTTTTGAAGTCCTTAGCACTTTCATTCTTTTGTTTTGATTAGTTTTATTCTGTTTTGTTTTGTTTGATTTTATTATGTGTGAAGGAATGGACAGCTATTTTGAAGAAAACAAGAGACATTATGGTAGCCATTGTTGATTTCCTGTTATATTGTTTTGAAGTCCTGTATCATTTGCATTGTTCTGTTTTGATTTGTTTTATTGTTTTGTTTTGTTTTATTCTCTTTAAAATTAAAAAATAATAAAAAAGAAAATACTATAACCATTACCAAAAAATTGAATAAGTGAAATGCCAAATTTCTGCAGACATACTGTACCAAAACTAATTTAAGAAGAAATATTAAAAAAATCTGTAAAAAAATTGTAATATGAGGTTCGATTAGTAGTCAAAAAGTCTCATAAAAAATCCCAGACCCACAATGCTTCCTTAGATTCAAACCAATAAATAATAATGAACACCGGTCTTCCCAAAACTTATCTGAAAGATAGAAGTGAACATTTCCCATTTCATGAAACCAGTACTCTATTTTCCTGATGCTAAAACTACACAAAGGTAGCATAAGGGGTCTTCAGAGTAATATCTCTAATGATTAGAGATGCAAAAATATTCAAAATACTAGTAAACTAATTTCAACAATATATAAAAAGAATTTTGTACTTTGTGACCAAATGAGATTTACCCCCAAAAATCCATGGCTTAATATTTACAAAGCAGTTAAATGTAACATATCTTATCAATAGAATATAAGAGAAACTATTTCCTGCTTATCTAAGTAGATGCAGAAAAAGCATTCACCAAAATTCAGCACCCCTTCATTAAAAAAAACACTCAACCAAGTAGGAATAGGAAGAGAATTCCTCAAATGAAGCAAGACATTTTTTAAAATTTTATTTTAAAAAGAATAAAACCAAACAAAATAAAATAGAATAAAGCCAATCAAAACAAAACAGTGAAAGTTATATGACTTCAAAACAAGATAATAAATCAATGGCTACCATAAAGCCTCTTATTATCATGAAATTAGCTGTCCATACCATCTGACATAATAAAACCAAGAAAAGCAGAACAGAATAAAACTAAATGAAAACAAAACAAGGAATGTGATACAGGACTTCAAAACAACATAATAGGAAATCAACAATGACTACTATAATGTATCTTGTTATCTTTGAAATAACTTCCCATATCATCAGATATAATAAAATCAAACAAAACAGAATAAAACCAAACCAAAAAAAAAAAGAAAACAATGCAGTATTTTAAAACATGATAATAGAGAATTAACATGGCTACCACCTTCAGAAGAAAATTCCCCATCCTTGCTAAACTGCATATTGTTATCCTCTAAATAGATGCTCAGACTACTGGCTTTAGGCCTGAAAAATCAGTCAAACAATACAAGCATTAAGTTGTGTTTTTACTTCAATAGCTATCATATCAGCCTGTGTTTCTCTGAATCCATGGTTACTTGGGGGATTGAAGGAGTTCAGTACTTCATGTCGTCCAGCTCACGTACCAGCTGGCTCACAGGAAGGGGTTGGCTTCTTGTTTCTCCTCCTGGATTACATGGCTGCTGCTGGCTCATAGGAAGGGGTTAGATTCTTGTTTCTCCTGCCAGCCCACATGGCTGAGGCCAGACATTTATGAGAAACTCACAACTAGCATCACACTTAATAGTGAAACTTCTCCCCTGAGATCAAGAATTAAATAAATAAAACCATATCAATTCTCAGTACTGCTGTCCAGTATTTTCCTAGAGAAGCCATCCAAGGCTTTTAGGCAAGTAAGGTAATAGGGCAGGACATCTATATCAGAAAGTAGGAAGTTTCTATTTGCAGATAACATAAGATTGTGGGGAGAGAATCTAAAGGAATTCACCAAAAAATGTTTTTCACTAAAAAAATTAGTTCAGCAAGATTGAAGGATGCAGGATACTTATGGAGAAATAAATTGTATTTCTATACTGTCCAATGAAAAAATAGAGATGTACAGTACCATCAAAACTATCAAAACATATATTGTAATACATTTAACCAAAGATATGCCAGACTTATAACTTTAGATGCTATGGTATTGCATGAAGTATTAGAACTTTGGAATTAAGTGTTGAGTAGAAATACTCCATGGATTTTTATTATGGGCAAAAGTGAATAAACATAGCAAGATACACTGTAGATGGCTCCTGGGTATCAGGTTTGTATAATGAATCAGAAAGTGTTTGGAATTGAAAGCACATGTGTCCTCAAATGATCCAGGTTCTTTATGATGACCTGTCTGGCAGAAGCCTTGGGGAGAAAGGATTCCTAGATTCCTAGCAGGAGGGAATGGCCCCAAATCTGTCTTCCTAGGAAACTAGCAGTTCCCCCTGTTCCCTGTGTTCTCCAGTGGCTTAGTCATTCATTCAGCATTTACAATTTATTTATAGCTTGACAACCTTGTGTGTAACCCCGTATACCCCTCTGTCCATATAGCCTGAACACACACTTCCTCTTTGGCTTGGCCTGCAGACCTTACCATACTCGCTCTGGGTTATTCTGAGCTCCCCTTCCAGAGCCCTCTTTTTATGTTTCTGTGGCTGGTTCCATAAAAAACCATCCCTCCTAGCAAGCCTGTTTGAGTTCCTTTCCCAGAAGAGGGTGGGAGGGCCCTGGGTCCTGCATTTCTCAAAGTCAGGAGTGAGTGTTGCTTCTGCTATTCTGGAGTGCCCTTGGGTACGGAGGGTCATAGATAGTGGGTGCAGGTGTGGGGGGAGTAAGACAAGTCTGCCAGCTGGGACAGTTGTTCCTGTCTCATGACGCCACATAGTGATTTCTGGGACCCCATAGTGGCATTCCCTGTGTTCTTTGTGGGTGTTTCCATCCTCGTGTGTACTCCATTCCCATTGTTTCAGTACAAGCAGGTAAGTGCTGTGGTGATTATTTTTCTTTTTTGGATTCTTACTTGTAGGTCAAAGAAGAAAGAATAGTTGAACTGGAAACAGAAAATGCTATTCTTCACCTGAAATTGGCAGAGGTAATCTTTTTAAATTTCTTACACATTTGGTGGAATTTTACCCAATGACTTAATATTATAGTCAGTTTTTACCCTTTGTAAAAGAAGTAAATCAAGGGTGACTCTCCTTTGATCTTTTCTTTTTTCTAGCTACTAAGGACATAAAAGCTCAAGGGTCTTAAAGTGTCATCTCTTACTGAAATTAGTACCTATTTTATCTCTTTCCTATCTAGTCTTTAATGAATAACAAATTCAGGAGGGACCCCAAAACTGTCTCTTTTGTGGCATTTTTATTGAGGTGTAACCTATGTACCACAAATTCATCCATTTTAAATTGTACAATTCTCAGTTTAGTAAATGTATGGTTGCGCAGACATTTTAGTCTTCTGTATTGCTATTACAAAACCCCTGAGATTGACTACCATGTAAAAAACACTTCTCTCTCTTGTTCTGAAGGCCAGGAGACCACCATCAAGGCTTATTCCTCTGCATGGCACCAACCTGGTATCTTTGCATAATGGAAGGGCAGAACAGCACAAAGGGTTGAAGCTGGTTCTCTGTAGCCTGATCTTGTCAGGAATGAGATTTTGGGGACTTCTTTACCTTCCCACAAAGTGTACTTTTTAATGCCATCATAGTGGCATGAATTTTTGAGGGGCCATTGAAGTCATGGTGGACACCTCATCATGTGCAGCTGCAGTTCCCAGAGAATACCACAGAAAGTTGAATCCTATTTCCTCATGACATGCAGCAGCAAGGTGTCAAAATTACCCAAAAGCCTAGCCCACCCATCCTCTCAGAAGTGGATTAAATAGACTGTTTATTTGTGTGGTGTACTTGTCAGCTACGGACTCTGCCATGTTGACATCCCAGACCTCAGAGCCATCTGCTCCCCACCAGCCCCACCTCTTCATGCTGCTGTGTTAGATATTATGCCAGTGAAGATGAGGCTGTTGGTAGCTGCAACTGGTTTATTCTCCCTCTAGTTTTACTCTCTTTAAGAGAGACTTTCCACCCATGAAGAGCCCTCCTGTTTCCCATGTAACCCCACCTGACACATTAGAGATTTAGAAACACTGCAAGATTAACCATTCTTCTTCCTCATTTACTAAAAACTCGAAAGCAAAATAAAGTCCCTAAGCTAATAAGACTCAGGTCCTCTGTGAGGGAGAGGAAAGAATGATATTTCACTTATAATCAATGCTGGAGACTTTAGAATACAACTGTGCATGTGTGTGTGTGCGCATGTGTGTGTGTGTGTGTTGTACTGGGGACTGAACTCAAGAACTTCACACTGAGCTAGATATTTTTTATTTGAGGCAGTCTTGCTGAATCACTAAGTGTCTCAGACTGGGCTCAAACTTGTGATCCTGCTGCCTCAGCCTCCCATAATGCTGAGATTACAGGCATACACCACCATGACCAACTTATTTATCCATTGCTTCTTTTTACCCTTCAGAGTGAGTGTGAGCCTTGATAGTTTAGGGACTTTGTTTTGCTTCAGTTTCTTTAGTCATATGAAGAAGCATGGCTCATGTCCAATAGCTCCTACATCTCTAATTTGCCTGGAGTCCACAATGGTGCCGAGGTGGTGTCTGAGGATACAGGATACAGTAGCCTGTGCAGTCCAGCAGTGGCTGGCCTCCTCCAGAGCCTCCCTTCCTATTTTCTGCTGACTTCTGTACGCATCTGATATTTCACCCCAACTTCAGTGGTGTGCTGCCTCTCCAGTGGCTCTTCCCAGCTGCCTCTTTTGCAGCACATTTACTTTGAAACAGTATGAAGACAACCTTTCCCCCTGCCGGGCTGCCCCGCCCGGCTCTGAAGTGCTTTCTTTGCACCAGAGCCTTGGAAGTCTCTGTTGGGCAAAGACATCCCCCAGGAGCCCAGGGTTCTGAGTTTATTGAACAACTTCGCCACAGGAGTCATCGGCTCCACAGCAAAGACCCTGACTCCATGCCCAGGTCATCCCCTGAGGTTCACAGATCTGCTTGGAAAGAGAATGGGAAAATACAAACAAGAGCTGCAGGGAACAAGCAGCACAGGACCCTGGCTGCAGTGCACCTGCTCTGCTCCTCCCACTTTGCTACTTGAGTGATGGCATTTTTAGCAGTGGTGATTGCGCAGGCTAGAAACCCAAGACTGCTCTGGGCACTGCTACTCCCTTGTGTGCACCCTGCTGTCCGCCCCAGCTATCTATCTTATAAGTGCTGTTAGAACCAGTACCCTTTCTCTGCTACTTTGAGTCTGGGACCTTTACCGCATACTGCGTGGGTCCTTTCTATTTACCTCCCCATCTCTATGAAAGTCCAGAGGAAGCTTTCAAATGTATGTCTTCCTTTAAAATCCTGCTGCTGAAGATCCGATAGAGCTTGACCTTATCACCATGGAGAACCGAGTTCCCAGGCCTAGGGCCTCTGTGCCCTCCCGTCCTCTGTCCTTCCCCTTCTGGGGTTGAGCCTTGGCTTTGCCCCAAGGAAGCCTTTCTCCTTTGGGTGCTTGCTTCTCCCACGTGGCTAGTGTCAGCCCTGGGCAATCCTCTCCTACACAGTGCTCATTCGGCCTAGGATTACTCACCTGATTTTCCCCACTGTGGTTTAATTCTGCACGGTGCCTTCTCCTCTGCAGAGTACCATGAACCTTCAGAAGCCACATTCTCAGCGAAAACTCTCCTACTGCATCTTCATGGATTTGAAACTTTAAATTGTCTATCTTTTCCTATCCAACAGTACCAAGAAAGGGTTGGAAGGAGTCGCCGTGAGGCCACGTGGTTTTATGCTCTCCTCAATGGACAGCAGCAATGGCCTAGCAGCGCTCACCCAGCCCTGGTGCAGATCTGCCACCTGATTCAGGTAAATGCGACCATGCTGCACACCAGGTTGTTTTCCACTAGTGAGTGCTGAGTTCAACAACATGAAGCTAGCCAGGCATGTTGGAACACATCTGCGTTCTCCATACTCTTTGAGGCAGAGGCAGGAGGATCACAAGTTTGACCACAGCCTGGGTAACTTAGCAAGACCATATATAAGAAAGGGTTGCGGATGTAGCCATGTGTAAAGGCTCTAGGTTCTCTCTTTAGTACAGGGTGGGTGGGATATAGAATGTGAAGTGTTCATTTTCTGTCTGTCAGAAGAGACTCACTCTTGAAATGAAGAGAAACCCAGGTTTAGGGGTTCACAGGCATCAGATAGGTGGTCAACATGCAGTCCATGGGTTGGTCCTCTTCAAGAGAGCGTAACATCCTATTTTTACATCAGTAGCATTTCTGCTGTCCAATACTTACTTAACAGAAGAAAACCTCCAACACACCTGTTATAACCGTGAGCAAAAATGAGAGCAAACAATATATGTGGCCATGAGATTAATATTTTGAGATAGCTGCATTAGACATTTAATTTTGTAAGTCAGAGTTGTTCTTATTGTGATGTTAAATGGTATAAAGTGTCAGATTAACTTGATCTGGTACATCGTGGCATCAAATGTTAACACTCCCTAATAAACTGTTAGTGATTTTTAGAAAGAAACATTAGGAAAACTGTTATTCCATACAATGCTTGGAAATTCTCCAAGGTGAAATCACGATAGCATATTTTTATGCCTATGATTAACAGCATTGTTTTATTTTTGTTATAGACAATGTGACCAAGAGAAAAAAATTGGGAAGAAAAAAATCATTACAACAATACAAACACCATCTGTAAACACGATTAATCTACTCTCTTTGTTGGTCAGATTTAGAAGCTTTAAACTGTTTTTGTTTATTTAGTGTGAATTTACATAGAATTAATTTTTCTCTCCTAAGTAAAATTAATCCATCTCTGAGTAGGCTATATAACTTTATCTGTAGTATAGATAAAAAAAACTACTTTGATTCAATGTAGTTTTGATGTTTTATTAAAATATTTTTCAAAAGCCGGGCGTGATGGCTCATGCCTGTAACCCCAGCACTTGGGAGGCTGAGGCAGGAGGATCATTGCAAGTTCGAGACCAGCCTGGGTTACAAAGTGAGCTCAAGGCTAGCCTGAACTGCATAGTGAGACCCTGTCTCAAAAAGACAAGAAGATGTATATATATTTTTTTCAAATATGGAAAAGTTTCCATGTTTTATAGAAAAATGCTTATCTAAAAATCAAAGAACATTCAAGCTCAGAGAATATGAAACCATGCCACTTAAGTTCTACTCCATGACCATCATGTCTTTGCACTGAAAAATCTTCGCAGTTATTTCATGGGAAAGGGACATATTTTGCACAGGATACCAGCTACATTGTTCCCACAGTTCTCTAAAACCCCTAATGCTTATTGTGCCTGGGATTCTGTTATGTACATGGATATGGTAAATGGTTTTCACTGCCATCAGCTCATGACAATAGAACTCCCAGAAGGTAGATCTGGAGAGTCCATCAGAGCTTTGTTTCCGTGGAATGTGGCAACACAGAGATGAGGACTCTGCCAGTATCACAGGATATAAACAACAGGGAGAAAAGAATGTCCCACATCCACACAATGAACCTTGCTCCTACAGAAATTGCAGACATACTTACTTTTTTGTTTAAGTACTCTAAAGATAGGAAATCTGAAAACTTGCATGAGCAGCTCCTAATGCTCCAGTCCCAGAACTACTGAATCAGTGTTTCCGGACATGACCTTGGGCTTGTGTTTGTGACTCCCAGATAGCATTTCCATGCAGCTCTGACAAAGAGCTTCTGTTCAGATGGATTTTGTTCATGATAAATTACACGTGGTTGCTGATGTCTGGACCATGTGTGTGATTGATCATTGTGTGGTTATATTGTAACAGCTGATAGTAATATAGTCATTTGCATTACATGTAGATGTTCTCACTCCTTAGAAACTTAAACAAGATGTCAAGGACTTTCGCTCTTCATTTTTGGACCTGTTGAGCAGCTGTCAAGCCCAATACCAAGAACAACTTTCTAACATGGCAGCTGCTATACGAAGAGCACAGCTCAGCACTGAAAATCTGCAAGGTGAGACAGCCTCACCTCGACATAAGCTGGTGCAGTCCTGCTTAAGTCGTTTCTTTGGACCCTTTACTGATGCCTGATATGTCGCTCGCAGCAGTGATACAGTGCCAATTGTTTCCTGGAGGCTGGCTACCTCTGCTCCTCCTCCATTGCAGCCCATCCTGCCTCAAGGTCTCCCCTTTCTCTTGGGCACATGACAAACATCATATTGACCTTGCCACTTAGGGCCAAGATGGCACTTTCTGTGCCCATTTTTCCCAAACAGAGCCGAGCTGTTCTGTCTCCCTGGCTCCTTTCCTTTTTCCTGTCCTTTCTTTCTTCCTGTCCATAGTTGGGCTGCTCTTTGGCTACAGTGGTTTTGTCATCTCAAACCACAGGATTTGTACTGTGGTAGCGCTTTAGTGCTGTGGCATACTCTTGCCTCAGTACTGCTGCATGTGTATAGACCGCACTTGCTGGAGCCATGTTGTGTTGAGTCCACCCTAACACAAGTCACAAGCCAGGAATGTGGGAAGTCATCATCATGTGTTTTCCCAGGTAAGTGTATCAAAACATGCAGACTTTTATTGCTGTCCTATCAGGCCAAAAGATATTTACATTAGATTTAGATAACCCATGAGCTCCCTCAGTGGCCTCCATAGTGCATGCAGGTCAGTGACTTCCCGCAGGGAGTGTGACTTCTGTGTTTGTAGGTGTATGCATGCGTGTGTGTGTGCGTGTGTATGTGTGTGGTGTGTAGTATGAGTGTGGTGTTTATGGAAGGCCTGGGGAGTGTCAATGTGTATGGTGTTATATATGCAGGAAGGTGGAATACATGTGTTCAGTGTATGTGCGTGTCTATATGTGCTGTGTGTGGTGTGTGTTACATGTATGGTGTGTGTATTGTTTCATCGGATGTGTGCATAGTCTCCAGGTTGCATATTCTCACCATTATATGGCAGTGTCACAGGGAAAAGGGAGGAGAGCAGCTGCAGCTTTTCCCTGAGGACGTATTGCCCTGTGTGACACTTGTGCAGCCCTGAACACTATCCGAGGGTCACTGTCCATGCTGATTCCAGGAAATGTGGCCAGAAGAAAGATGTCCCTTGGTATTTGTTCATGATGACTGTCCTGTTTGAGTGCCATGGGGGTGTCCTGGCTGGTCAGCCTCCTTGAGGTATCTTCATCTCTTCAGCTGATCCTTATCAGAGATGAGGCTCAGACATGGCTGATGCTTAAGCATTGTATCTGTCAGGTCCAGTGGTGGAACAGCCAATGCTGGGGACCAGGGAGAGCTGGTAACAGCTGAGTGGCTGAGTTGGAAGGCTCCCACACAGAAGCTACACTCAGTGAGGGACTCTCCTTCTTAAACCTGTTCGCTCTCCCTGGGCCCCAGTGTCTTTCTTGGAGGGAGATGAGCTCTTTAAGGGTGTTCTGTTTCAGGGTCATGAGCATCACATTGTGGTGTGCCATCTCAGCTCCTAAAACCCTGGCCAGGCTATGTCCTACAGCTGATGGTACACAGTACAGCCCCAGGAGATGCTTGAATGACCCTCCTGGCTGTCATTTATCCTGTAGCCACAACACATCTCTTGCAGTAACCTACATGGGACTTCAAGCTATTGGCCAGACCACCTGCACAGTAACCTGTCTGGCTCAGCTGTGATATTAGCTCAATATTTAGTGGATGGTCTCTGGTCATCCTCACATTCTGGCTAGGTCTTGGTTGGATGGGAAAGGAAATAGAAGCTGCAAGTCACCATTAACAGTAGACAAAACCAGAAGCCAGACCCAGGTTCTCTGGTATCTCTGTTTCCCACTAAGTAAGCTCTAGGACTGGGGAACCTGTATACCATAAGGTGGTTGTTGAGCCTGAGGTCCTGTGTGTGCTCCACCACTGTTCATCCCTGTGCACACAGGGCACCCAGAGCCTCAAATGGTCCAAAGCCTATCCTGCTGACCACTTGGGGAGTTTAGCATCTCCTGTAACATTCTCTGCTTGGAGAAGCAATTTAATCTGCCCAATTACCAGGCCCTCCTTTTTTTTTTTTTTTTTTTGTTACATTGCATATTATGATCTTCTAAATAGTTGTTCAGGTTACCAGATATAGGAATAAAACAAAACAGTACAACAGAACAAAACATTGGATTTCAAAAACAAGACAAAAGGAAATCCTCCATAGTTACTATAATGTATATTGTTATCCTCCAAATAGATGCTCAGACTACCAGCCTCAGGCCTGCAAAGTCAATCCAACAATACAAACATTATTTTTCTTACTCTGGTTGTTATCATTTCAGCCTGACTTCCTCCAAATCAGCCCATTGCTTTTGGTGGTGGTGGGGTTGCTCTTCTTGTCTCCCATCCTGGGCACTGGCTGGCTCATGGAAAGGTGTGGTTTGGCTTCTTGATTCTCTTCCCACTCCCCATGGTGGCTGCTCCTGGCTCACGAGTAGACGTGGCTTGGCTTCTTGATTCTTTTCCTGTTCACATGGTGGCTGCTCCTGGCTCATGGGAAGGCAAGGTTTACCTGGTTCTCCTTTCCTGCAGTGTTGCTGTGTGCAACCTTGGGTAAAATTATCCTTTCAGCATGTCAATCCGAAATCCTTCATCTCCAACTGTCTTTGAAAGAAATGGACATGCGCTACCACGTGGAAAAACAGAGGAGGAGAGAGCTCCACAACACTCTGGTGGTGAGTAGCCCAGGCTGAACTCTGCAGTTCAGCAGAAAGCATCAGAACAGAACTACAGTGGCATGAAGGCATACCTCAGTGACACTAAGCCAAAATTTTAGAGACTCTTAGGGAGTAAGAGGAGGTGAGAGGACAGGAGAGAAGCCTGAGGTGGGGCGGTCTTAGCACAGGGGGCAGCATAAGGCAGCATTGAATGAAAAGACCATCACCTGGGATTGTATGTCCTTCTTCCCTAGAAGCCATTGGCTACCCTGGATAATAGGTTGAGAAGTGGCCATGGAGAAGGAAGGGGATCACTGTAGTTGGTATTGAAAGCAACCTGTGATTCAGGGACACACTGAAACCACACAGGGCATACATCAGGACCACATCAGCACCTCTGAGATGACCAGTGGATCAGGCTGACAGGAGTGCAATGAAGGGAGGTGGGAGGGTATTGGTGTATCAAGAGCTAGGACTCTTCCTGATGCAGATGTGCTGAGTCTTTGATATGTGAGGACTGGCCTCTCCTGCACCCTGTCAGCTCTTTTGCCTCCCAGGGAATCTAAGCAAGAGTCCAATGGTCTCTTCCTCACTTTCTTGGAAGGCCTGGGATCTGCAGTCCTAGGAAAGGTGAAGCTAAACCTCAGGCCTGCACTTACCAGTATGAGGGGGCCATGGTTGATGTTGATTTGAACAGCCTTGCTTCTGGGAGGTGTGGCTCCTGTGGTCTAACCCTAACCCTAACCCTAACCCATCTCTCTAGTTCCAGTAGCCAAGTATACAGGCAGCCTGCATTCCCGAGGGGCTCTCTGACCCCTTGAGGAGGTAATCCTTCTGTTCAGTGACAGACATGTCTGAGAATAATTCTCATTTTAAGCATATTTTCTTATATGGTTCTGTACTGAAAATATTAAGACAGTTACTGGGCACTGACTTAATCTTCAGAGTGGCACTATCTTTCTGGATTGAGAAGCTAATGATGAAAGACAGAAGTTAAGTAAAATTCCTCCATAAGCTGTAGTATTCATTATGAGGAGACGGGAAAATGAAGCTGCCCAAAATGGACACAAGTCCAGAGCAGAGCACTTGACTGTAGAAGATTCCAAGAGTGCTGAAATGAGCTTAGGTCTCTTGGTCTCACTTGTCTGTGTCCCTGCATAAAGAGCGTGGGGACAGGCTTGCTGGTTCTGCTTCTGTGGGAGCCCAGAGGACACCTTGAGAGGCTGCAAGGTAGTTAGTAAAAGCCACTCACTCAGTTTTCAGAGCATGATGAGAGCATGTTTCCAGTGGAAGTGCACACTCTGCTTGCTCACTCAGCACGCTGTGTCAAGGCTGAGCAAGGGGAGGAGGCAGAGCTTCTGCCTCCCTCAGGATCAGGGATTTTTGCACCGGCATCCAGGGATGTCCTCTAGACTGTGCCCTGGCTCTTTTTAGATCGTCATCTTTCTGAGTTATTTGGAGATGTAAAAAGGAGGCTTGTAATATCTGAGCATATTCAACTTTGAAAGGGTCTGATCAGAGTACTGTAAACTATTTTGAGAGACTAGAGCAATAACTAAAGCTGACTGGGGTTCAGTAGGATAGACGGGGGGTGCTGAAGAATATTAGGGCTCCCAGCAGTGGCAACACTCTGATGAGTCAAGACCAGTTTCCAGTAGAGGTATGCATGGTAGGATTGACATTATCATTATGTTGTTACTAGCCAGCCCTCTTGACAACTTCTAGAGAAGTATGAGAGGTGGATTGTGCCTCTGGTGGTAGTGCCCTTGCCACTCGGCTTCTCTGTCCATGTGCTGATACCCAGGGGTAGGGGTGCAGGCCTTGTCTGTAGGAGCGACATCTGTCCTCTGCAGATGAGACAGCTGCTGAGTCTTAGCTGTTTTCTTCCACCCAGTCCAACCCTCGCCCTTACTGAAGTCTCCTGTCAGGTATTCAGTGCAGTTTCCCTCCCCTTCTGAGCCTTTTCCATGACTCTATTTCGGACTTGGTGCACTTTCAGGTACAAGCAGACTTACATATGTGCCAAGGGTCCCCCTACCTCCCCAAGTAAATCACCATGACCGAGAAGTTGTGAGGAGCCAGTGGCTCCCATAGGGTCAAGTCCAGGCCTCTTTGGGTATGAGATATCTATTTGCCCCATGACATGCATTTGATATAATAGTCCCCAACTCTGTCAGCCATCAGCCTCAGAGCTGCTGGACATGCAAGAGCTCTTCTGGGCTGCGCCTCTGGAAGAGCGGTAGGACTAGAGCAGCCCCAGTCCTGTTCAGATCTGCATAGGACTGATGCCAGAGAGGAGATTCTCACTCCAGGCACAACACTCTGAGAGGGGGAAAGTAGGCTGGTAGAGCTTAGCCACCTAAAGACATTAGTGGGTCTTTGCTGTGACAAGGGCTGCCGAGAGCCAACGAGAAGGCAACAGCACCTGGAAAGCCTTGTCTGCAAGCTCAAGGATTTGAAACAGCCATGTGAACAATTGACATCTTTATTGCGGCTCCACATCATAAAGGGCATGGGTAGGAAACACCAGCATAGTATGTAGGGGCAAGTTCCCTGTCATCAGAGCCATAAGAGAACAGCCTGGCAGGAATTTACCTCTCGTCTCTACAGCTAGATTAAATACTATTTTGAAACATGTTCATATCATAATATAAACCTTAGATTTAATAGATTTATTCGTTCCCTCTTTCTATGCAGGTGGAGGGGTTCTGCCCTCATATCTCTGGAGACAGGATAGCTGAGTGGTTCTTTGTTTAAAACTGGGCAATATCATATCTTAGAGGAGCCTTTTGGGGGAGGAACAAGAAACATGGTGGATTTTCTGATATATTGGCTAAAAATATTAGTCTAGGATGTCATTGATAGATATTTTTATTGATAATTATTGCCCGATGATAATCATTTGCAAAGGAAACATTTGTTACATTTGAATTTTAACATGCTGGCAGTAAACACTGAGTTAAAACCCCACACTGCAGGGATTTCCCCCGCAAGGCCAAAGGAGCATAGTACACTACTGAGGGTTGCCTGGGGTTAGATCTTGCTCCTGTTTAACAGTTGAAATCCATTTATCCTTGCAGGAGCTGAAAGGAAATATCAGAGTTCACTGTCGAATTCGTCCTTTGTTGCCTTTGGATTGTGAGCTAGATGATCCAATTTTACAGAATGGGTAACTTGCTGTGGTAGTCTTATGTGACTGGCGTGGCTGAGGAATTTTAAGGAGAAGGTATAGATGTGGTATGAACTTCCAAGTTTTCCCAGACTTAGGCTCTTGCTAGAGCTCTGGGGATCTGGGTGAAGGCTCCCTTTAGGACTGTGTTGTCCCTATAGAACATGGCTTCAAAGAGGCCACAGTACCTGCACACACACAATGCATCTGAGTGATCTGTAGCCCAGGTCTCCAAGGTTTGTCCCTGTGCTGTCTAGGAAAGCACTACATCAAAAGGGTCATCCTTCCCCTCCTCAGAGGGACAAGACAGTGATCGAAATTGACCTGATTCATGCTTCTGATCTGGAGAAAGTTTGATCAGAAGTTTGGTCATAAGTAATACAGAACTTTCTCAAGTTCATTCGTTCAAATGTTTACTTGAAAAGCAGCCTACATAAGACTGCTTGCTCTTTCCCTGTTAACCCCCTCTTGTATTGTTAGGGTAAACTGAAGCACAGTTGAGGCCACTGAGATAGATAGGGTTTAAGCAACGTGTGAGGACTTTATAAAGACCAGATGTGAAAAAGACCACTGGCCTTGAGCAAGGGGCAAGAGCATGTTTCATAGGAGCGTTTAGGTAGGGGATAGGGTGCAAAAGTTTGGGTCTCTGAATAGGTCTAGGGCTGGGTGATAGGGCAGTGTTGGGTACCAGGCGTGCTGGCAGGCACAGCATGTCTCCTGTGGTTTTTCAAGGAATCAGTTCTCTGCAGTTTGAGCTGTGTAGGGCAGCTGCTGGCTTTCTGCTTTGGGGAATTTTTCTCTCCTAGCTTAGCAGGGCTCTAGTTCGGAAACCTACCTGCTCCTGCTGCTGCCCCCAAGGAGGCTCCCACCCTCTTCATTTGCCTGGGTCGGTCTCTGCGATGGTCTGCTTTTTGTTTGGTTTCTGGCACTTTTGGTCCTCCTTGTTAGTCTGTCCTGGTTTTGCTCCTCTTTTAGGCACTGGCTAGAGCCTTCCATTTGCACCAAACAAGTTAGCATTGACTTCAGACAGTTCTCTGGAAGCCCTTGATCAGTCCCAGAATGTGAAACAATCTTGTTTTGATGGTGATTGAACTTTTTTTTTATTTTTAGAGGATTAGGATTTTCATTTTGTCAGGGATGGTATGGAATTTACTTTTTTGATTGGTAACCATTTTTCATTTATCAAAGAACTGAAAGTATGGAACCTCAAATGGGCTAACTTTTCTTGCACTGTTTTTTAAGTGGTGTATACTGATTCCTTTTGTTGCATTGTTAATCTGTGGCTAATGGATGTAAATAGGTACAAACTGAGTAAGTCAGAAACTCCTTTGCTCAGTTGCCCCAGCCACTGGGAACACTGAGACACAGTGTTCTTACTGCTGCTTGGGGCTGTCCTGTCTCCTTCAGAGACTTGGGAGAGGTTTTGTTTTTGCTCTTCTGCTTTTTACATTCACTTAGTTTTATTTTGAAGCATGTTGCATTTTTTCACATTCCAGATTGCTTGCAGGGTACTTAGGTTCCCTGAGGCCCAGACCTTGTAACTTTTGTGCATCTCCAGTGTCCTATAAAGGGCTGTACATATGAGGGAGCTTTAAATACCATGTAAGTGACTGGTCCCTCCAGTGCACATACACAGGAGGGCGGAAACATGGGCTAAAAAGCAAGTTAATGGAGAAAAAGTTCAAGAGAAAATAAAGAGGAGAGGGTGAAAATAAAATAAAGAATAAAGAGAAGGTGAAGCCGGAAAGGCAAAGAATGGGTCTGTAGAAAGGCAGCACATGGACACAGGAAGAGGCCAGGAGCACATGTGAAGGAATAAGCAGTGAAACCCTAGTGTAGGGGGACAGAGGTGTGGAACCAAGAGTCAGAAGACGGCAAAGCAATGATGGCAAGGGAAAAAATAAGAGCTTTAGAGTTTGAATGGTAAGAACTGAGAAATGGCATGTGGAGAGGGTCTTACACATCCTTTATCCCTGCAGCTCCGACTCCCGAGAGGTGGCCCATGCGGTGGATGAGGTGAGTAGCTCTGAGTGTCCTCTCTACAGAAGCTTCCTGCTCAGACTTCCGGTGTTCTCAGAGATTTCTGCCACTGAGAGCACCTCAGAAGTGGACCGAATACAAAATCATTTCTTTCCTTACACTGTACTGTCTTCATTAACAAGAATAGCTTTTGCTTCTTGATTTTGGCTGAAAAACTAATTCAAAAAGCACCTTGTTCACCTTGTTCATGAGAAACCCACACCCCGAGGTCTGGGGGAGGGAGTTATTTCACCTGCATTAATTTTCCAGTGCAAAAGAGGTCTTTTGTAAATTGAGTTCTAAAATTTAGGGCATTAAGAAATATCCTTACAAATACAAAAGCAGTTATCAAGTGTGAAGTTTACAACTTTGACTTTGAAATCAGTATGATATGGTTTCTCTTTAAAACCATCACACTTAGCTTTATGTACCAATTTTTTTTTTTTTGTATTGGGAATCAGACTCATGCTTGCCAGGTAGGTGCTTATGCCGCTGAGCTAAACCCATGGTCCACCTTTTTCTTCATGGTTTTGTTTTTTGTTTGTTCATTTTTTTGTACCGGGGATCAAACTCATGAACTTATACTTACCAGGCAAGCACTTGAGCCACTGAGCTAAATCCCAAGCATAGCTTTACTTACCATAAGGCCTAGAAGTACATAGTTGTGTTAGCCCAGCACCCTCCTGTAGTCTCTAAGGAAGGGATACTGCTCAGAAGACCCTAATCTGGGTTGGCAAATGGACAGGAGAAGGCAGGAACCCTTGTGTGGACAGAGAGAGAGAGAGAGAGAGAGAGAGAGAGAGAGAGAGAGAGAGAGAGAGAGAAAAGTACCAAGCATGATGGCTATGATCCCAAAATTCAGTGTTCGTCGTGAGGGACTCCAGCCAGTGCAGCGTGAAGCACAATCTCAGCAAGTAACTCAAGCACTTGTAATCCAGACTTGGGAGGCTGAGTCAGGAGGATCATTATAAGTTCGAGACCAGCCTGGACTGCATAGCGAGACACTGTCTCAAAATGACAAACTCAAGAAGATTGGCACATGTAATTGTAATTAAAGCCTTTGAGTTCATAATTATTTCTTTAAAAATTCTCACTGATGCACATGCTCTAGGAGGCATATTTCAGGGCAAATGACTAGGTTTTGAGAAAAAAGTTCTTTTTTACAGATGATTCCTATTGGTAAAGAATGAGTAAAGGAATTAGAAGACACTCTTTGTCACCCTTGAGGCTGCTGTGGCTCTCTGGGTACATGACACTGCCTTGGGATGAGGCATAAGAGGTCAGGACTGCCTCTGAAGCACTTCTGTTCTAGTCATGTTCTCCAAATTTGTTTTGTTAAAGGAAACAGCCACATCCAGAATGTGGATGCTTTTTAGAACAAAGCTTCTGGTTTCTTTAACAAATCACTGACATTTCTAAAAGGGCGAGGAGGCAGGAGGTGTAGAGGGAAATATATAAGCTACATGGTCAGCCATTGCAGGACCTCACCCAGAGCTCAGCTTGAACAAGTCCACTGTAAAAGTGTGAGAAATGGAGAGGTGGTGTGTGCAGTGTGAATGGGGAGAGAACTTCTGTCTCCCCTTCACAGCTGCTGGCAGGGCAGAGCATTAAAAGGGGGCCCAGGACAGGTTAGCAGGAGAACAGTACACAGCCTGTTACGAAGTTACAGGACACTGGTCCTTTTGTAATGAAGTAAAGACCTTAGGGTAGTGGTAGGACCTGAAAACATTCACACAGGCTGATCGGAGAGGAGAGTAAGGAAGACAGGACATGAGAAAGCAAGGTCCAGCTCAGCAAGCTGTAACTGTGAGCCTGTCCCCTGGGGGGATGTTTCTTCCTGGGTTTTACTAACTGCTGTCAGGAAGGTGGTGTCTTCCTGTGCCCCCTATTTTTCAAGTGCCTTTAAAGGCAATCTTTATGCAGAAACAGCACATTTGGAATAGCCTGTTTTGCCTCTGCTAAAGGTTTGAACGTGGTTTGATTATGTCCTTAGAGGCTCTCATGCTGGAGGCTTGGTTCCAGAATGGCCTTTTGGGAGGTGATGAGACCTGTAAGAGGTGCTACCTTTTCATGACAATTAGGTGGCCTCTGGATGGACCTTGGTCAGTTCCCCTGACAGTGAGAGTGTAAACTGCTATGCAAAGAGCCAGCTTGGCTAAACAATTAGTATTGCTAATTCTGAATTTAACCTGAAAATCTCAGGGCATATAGATTAGATTATTCTGAAGATATTTTATTTTGATTGCTTTTCATCTCACCTACTTTTTCACAGGATTTGTTTCATCTGAATCAATCTATTGTGTACCATAAACTTTAGCCATTGTTTAAGTTAATTGGTTTTTGGCCTTTTTTTAAACAAGCAGACCAAGAAAATTGTTCAGCTATATTTAAAATTCCATTGACAGTGCCTCTAAAATAAACACTGCCAAAATTTCACTTTAGAGGATTGTTTTGTTGGATGTATGTTGCCTCAAACACCAATATTGTTGAGTGACGCCAAACAATGAAAGAGAAATGAAATCCTCCCTAATAAATACTGGGTTAAAAGGATCCCTGGTCATCACCTCACCACTCCTCATCCACTGGAACTGAGCATGATGTGTGGCAGGCCTTCAGAAGTTTTCCAGTGGGAATGCACTCCCTGGGCTGGAGGCCTAACCAGGCTCTGAAGGAAAGGTCGCTGTTAATATTAACGGTGTTTCTTTGTTACCTTATCCGTCTTGTGAAGGACCTCTCCAGGCCTTGCAATTCAGAAATCTGAATCCCCTCATATCTTACCAAACAAAATAAGATAACATTTCTTTTGACTGGGGCATTTGGATTATGTGTAAGAAAAATCAGCCAGATTAGAGTTCAGTCGATCTGCTTGTTAAAGAACTTTGTACCATGAAACCTGCTGTAAGAGCACCTCTTTGATTTTGTGACCTTGTACCTCTTGGCTCCCACATGCTATTTGTAGTTCCAAAAGTCTGAAGAGTTTCAGTTTGTATTGGATGTAATATGGCATTTAGTTTCAGTTAACAGTCTCATTCAGTGCTTAATAGTTTTGGACTCACTATGTATAATAAGACCAGCCACAGATGGAGAGTGACTGTTCCCCTCATTCCTATGGCTTCCGTATTTGGGTTATTTATTTGCATTTTTTATTTAATTTACATCCGCTTGTTTCATAATCAGGTATGGGAGAACAGACTTCTGTCTCTGTATCAAGTTTTTGCTGAACTGTCATTTGCCGTTTTCTGTATTACCAACAATGACAGTTACTGACTTGAATTCCTGAGTGTAGATGGGCAGATCCAGGTCACATCACTTATCTCAATGTCAAAACATGTTTTGGAGAGGTGCCCAAGTACACTGGTAGATTTGGCACTCTGGAAAAGACTCTCAAATCCTGGACCTGCAAGTCCTTCTCAGATTATTTGATCTTTTCTCTCTCTGGACTCCAGGCCTTGAACAGCCAGGAGTGCGAGTACCAGCTAGCGATGTGGCTCATTCAGAAGGACAGAGCACGTCCAGGCCCTGCTTTCTGTAGCACTTGACCTGCTGCTGTACTGACCGAAGGCTGAGCTAGCTGTGTCCCTCCCTGATCCTGACTCCTCCAAATTCCAGACCCATGCAGGCTATACCAGCAGGGCCTTTGGGCATGGTGTACACGGTTCTCAAACCAAAAATAAAAGTTAAATTCTTGGCTTTCTCTTTGGATCTACTATTGCTTTTCCAAATCAACAAGTGGCCGCACAATTTATGCAGGTCGTCATTTAATCCTTCAAAGATCTGTTCACCCTGCTGTGAGCATCTTTTTTGACTGTCTGATTTACTCCATTTTCATCATGTCCAGGCCATGCCCATCCCTCCCTCCCTGTCTATGGCTGACCTAGAAGTGTGGTCAGGTCACTTCTTCAGTGCATCTCCATGAAGTTACGGAAGGCATCGTGTACCCTGTGTTGCATTTGTCTGTCTACCTGTGCCTATCTGTGGCTCCTTTCTGTCTCAGGAGTTTCACCCAGCTTCTCTCCTGGCCTGGCTTACCTGCTCTCACTTTTCTGTTTTAAACATAAACATCTCTTCCTTGAAAAGCCTTTCTTGGCTCCCAAGCTATGGCAGGATACTCTCAAGGGTAATCTTATTGCTTCTTCAGGGTACTCAGTCGTATTTGGTGGATTTGTCAGTTTCTCTGCTCATGTGTGTACATCACTGAGCAATAAGCTTCACTAGGTCAGTGTTCTGTCTCTGTTTGCCATGTAGACTCAGAGCAGGCCTGGCAGGATCAGTTGTCAAGCACTCATTCCATGGCAGGCACTTCCTATCTATCCTGTCCATGGGGACAGAGGGACACAAAGGAACAGTGGGCTGTTTTTCATTAAGATGTTTGAGAAAATGATTCACTTTGCATAATGCTTTCAGAGTTTCTTTTTTTCTTTTTATTTTTTTTTTTCTTTTGTCTTTTTCGTTTTTATCGGTACCAGGGATCGAACTCACAACTGCCTGCTTGCAAGGCAGGCGCTTATGCCGCTGAGCTAAATCCCCAGCCCCCAGAGTTTCTTTATAATGGAATTCCTTCTTCTTGTTTAATCTAAGTCATAGAACCATAGACTTAATGAATTATAAAACCATACGGCACTAGGGCCACCTGGTAACATTGAGTAGTAACACATAAAAAATAATAAATGCAGTAGCTTTTTAAAGAGTTCCACTGATAGGTGGATGTTGTCCTGTGAGCCCTCCCTAGTTTAGTAGTGAAGCAAAATATTTTAGAACTGCTGTGTCAGTTCAGGTAAGTCAGAGAGAAAAAGTATCATGTATCATATGTGCATAAGAACAGTATGAACTCACCTTCACAGTTATGGCCCCAGACATCTGTGACCCTCAGTCATCATCAAAAATGCAAGAAGGATCAGTTAGTGTTTCGTGTCTGGTGTGGTGCATGTCAAGTTTATCCTACAATCTAAGCCAAATGATATGGAGCAGAAAACAGATTTGGAAAGAGATTTTTGGTC